AGAAGTGGAGCAGATATGGAAGGAGAGGGCGTGGGGCAGCGGATATAATGCCAATTCAGAGAGCCTTCTTGAGCAGGGAGACCAATCTTAGGTGCCATATATATTAGGTTTAAATATTGTCTGCTATATGTGCTTGAAGAATGAAGATGAATTAGGACGTATTTTCATATTTCAGAGTTTGAGATCAAAGGATGCTTTAAAATATGTTCGTATATTATGTGGCGTCCAAGGGATTCTTTTATTGTATTCCCTATGGAGCCGCAGGTTACTATCCATTTACTGTTTAGATCTATGGACAAATTTATCAAAACTATGTTTGCGATTGTTGCTTTGGAAATCTGATATTCCACCTGTTATCTCAAAAATCTGCTGTGGCAGAAATGAGGGATGCTTTTCCCACATGAGGGATGTTCTTGGCTGTTACCACAACTGCCTAAGGTTAAGTTTGCGGACTTAAATTTGAAATTGATTAGTGTATTTAAAACACATGTAATTTAAAAATATGTATTTTAAGCACTTATTAAAATACACAATTTGAATAAATTAAATTATTATGGATTTGAGATTGAATTGATGCTAATTCTTCCAATTGAGGCATCTTTATAAATATTTAGTAGACAATTTTAGTTGTCAATGTTATTACCTCTATTTCTCTCCCCCTATTTGAAGTACTGTGTCAAAACATCATAACCCTGCAATTTATTGAATAGGTGATGTGCAAAACAACAAAAAACTATATTCTTTTAGGCCTCATCACCTCAAGACTCAAAAATTTTCAATGTTAACCAACAGTTCAATTGAATAAATTTAACTAGAAATTTCGTCAATAATCACTCACAAATAGAAAGGGCTAATAGAGTTAAGCACCTTGGTTGAAAACGGGTTCCATTGGCCCTCCATTCTTGAACTAAATATGGAGCCCAACCAACTAAATATATGAAGTTAGAAGTTAGAACAGGTCCATACCTTTAAATAGAAGCACTAGTACAGTGCATCCTGATTAATTCTAAGAAAAAGAGGAGCAAAGTGAAGGGAGGTGGCCAAGCAAGTAGGCTGGTAGGGAAGGAGGTGCATTGACACTGTAAGTTCATAACCATTCCTTTGCCTAGTCCCTCATATCCATATAAGAAGAAGAGATTGCTTAATTCAAACTTGATTGGCAAGCTCGTAAGTGTGCTAGTCAAGATATAGATTTCAGATTTACATTCAAGAATTACATCCACCACAAAATTAAAAGAAAGAGAAGATCTATGCCAAAGAAGGAGAAAAGGGCATTGATAAAAAATTATCAATGGTTAATGGTAAAGTTTATTAGAGATTTCATCAAGGATCCTACTTAATTTGATTAAATATCAGAATTGAGAATTGAAATTTAGGGAGTAGGCAATGTATTTGAAATGCATGCAATTTTTATTTTGAAATACATAGTTCCAAATACATATGTTTGAAGCAAATTCAAATATACTCTTATTTAGGATAAACAAATAGGGTATTTAAATTTAGAATCCCAAATTCAAATACACTTCAATCAAAGTTATGTCACCAAACAGAGCATTAATTAAGAAAAACCAACAACAAACACAAGAGCAAAAAAGTGAGAAAATGTATGGATAAGAATATGAATTGTGTCATTTTTTTTATTTAAGGATATAAACATTTTTATTAGGTAATAAACTTTTAATTTTTTAAAATAAGGATAAGAATCTTGTATTTTTTCTATTTAAGGATTTTTTAGATGACAATGATGATGTAGAAA